ACAGGCTCTGTAACGGATTTTAAGATTACTGGCCTCTCGGATTTTATCATAAATGAGCTCAGAATTTCTACAATAAGGAAATCTATTTTCAATATCACCCTACCAATGACGGCACTACAAGCTATTTATGCAGCTAAAGGGTCAGTGGCATATATAGTTAATTTAGCCGGCGATGGCGATGCTGAGTGAGTGAAAAGAAAATAAATTACATATCGCTAAGTTAGAGTGAAAAGTTGTTAATTTCACTTTTTATGAAAACTCATATTTTGATACAGAAAGCTAGAGAAATTAAAAATGCATAATTTCGAAAAAGATAAAGGCCCTTATTTTATGTTTTCTCTTTTATATTTATTGAAGTGAAAATTTGTTGAGTCCAAAAGAAGCTCCGAAAAATTCGATAAGTCCAAAATAGTACGAAATCTTTTTATAAAGATCGAATCCCTCTGATTCGTATGGTGTTTTGCTTTGATATAAATAAGGGAAAATGTTATGTTATATTCAAAGTTTGGCGAAATACTTGAAGAAAATGGCTATAATAAGTTTTTTCCTCCTGTAAAATTTTTCAATTGGGACTTAGCGACTTTTCACTCTAAGCTGGCGGTATGTGTGTTTTGGTATTCATCCTAGTTTTCAAACAGAGCTCATCTAAAGGATTTGAGTTTAAGAATCTCATTTAATTTAAAATCTGGAAAATATCTTGGCATACGAAATTTGAGCATTAAGGTATTGCGCGCTGAAAATTAAATTTTTTAGTTAATAAAAACCCTTTATTTTCTCGAAGATCACAGTTGGTGAGCTTTACATCGATTTTGAAAATTTACTTGAAGACGAGCGGATAAATGATTTCTTCCATGCATTGGTTAACGAACTAGGCCTGGAGCTTTTGACAGATCTATGGACATATGAACAAGGTTTTTTGGAGGACTATATTCAAGAGGTATATATTTAAGCAAATATTGCCCGCCTATTGGTTCTCGTGAGTGAGATCAAAATAAAATTTAAGATAATTCTAAAATAAGGGATTAAAATTGAATATTCACATAACTTTTTTCTTTTAGAGCGTCAACATTCATATTGGTCAATATACGTTAAGCGATATTATTAAAATAATTGGTGGTAGTGGTGATGGCGAGCCAATATTTGGTAGCGGGCCACCAGGTGACTGCAGGGAAAACGCAACTTTTAATGCTTCCACATAAAAATAAGCATCACAACACTGAAAAAGCTTGGTACCGAAGAGTTAGTGGCGTTATAAATACATAATTGTATAATACTAAATACTATATGTACTATATCACAATGTGAGAATGTGTTCTATCATTCTTGAATATATACATATGTTCTATTTTCGCACGTAAGGCTATTGACATTACTTTTGTTAAGGCTTATCTCTAGAATTTAAAATTGATTTTAATACAAGCCTCTTTATCAATAAAAGATTAGAAACTGTTATAAATACAACGTTAATATTGTTCACTAATTTTCTTTGTTGGATAAATACCCTGTAGGTTAAAATAACTTTAAATGCACTATGGGTCGTTCCATATGAAATCGTCTGCTGTAACTTTGAGGGAGTCTTCTTTTAATTTGAATTAAAACTTTTGAAATTCCCCATTTTTATGCTTCAACAAAATTTAGCTCTAAAATGTTTCGTTTTTAGGTATCTACTAGGGCTAATGATTTCACCCGGGTAATGAGCTACGCGGGTACCCGGGTAGCGGGTGAAGCCCTACTTAGGGTATATATAACATAAGTTTTAAAATAAAAGTCTTTGAAGACTTAAAAGTATTTATCTCAATGATAATTATTTTGAAAAAACTTTTATAATATAAGTCTTAAAATAAACGTCCTTGAAGACTTAAAAATATTCATCTCTTTGATAATTATTAAAGGACTTTTATAATATAAGTCCTTAAATCTTATTAAATTAAACAAGCAATTCTTGTATATATTGTTACGATTATCCTCGAAACCTTGAGGGATTTCCCAAATATCTTACGGCAAGGAATAGTGCCATAAAGGATGGAGGATTTACCTTGGGAGCGTTCATCGAATTAGCTGGACGATTCAATTGCAAGCCCCGGAGACCATCTTCAAGCTCATCCACCTTAGCTTTGTCCTGTTTTTCCTTAATAAGCGCTTCGATTTTATCTTGTCGTTCCTCGACTTTATCCTGTCTCTCTCTGAGTTCCGCGTTATCTTTGAATAAATTGTCTTGTAGCCGAGTAATCTTTTCATCTAGCTGTGATGACATGTACGTTTTCTGTGCTACCAGCTGAGATAACATGCGTGTTTCCTGCACTTGCAGCTGGGATGAAATCTGTGATGACATCTGTGACATGCGTGTATCCTGTGCTTGCATCATCTGTGACATGGCAGTCAATAACGTGTTCATGTCCATAGCTGCCGATGACCAAGGAGCCTTTTTCGGTTCTTCAACCTTCCCGGATGTCTGATGCACATACTTCGGCGAACATGCAGCCTCATCCTTCTGTTCGTCCTTTGCGGATGTATCGTCGGGTTTACCCTGGAAGTCGTATTTGTCCACGTCGATGCCTTCTGATTTCATAGCCTCTCGCAGCCGCGATAGTAACTCCACTTTTCTTCCGGAGATTGCTAAATTTCGCTTCTCCAACTCCTGCTTGAGTTCCTCAGTCTTTAGATCCTGAATTTTTGCCATTTTCGGAAGTTTCTCCTCTGGGATTTATTTAGCAATCCCACTTCTGACACCAATTGTTACGATTATCCTCGAAACCTTGAGGGATTCCCCAAATATCTTACGGCTCGTATCGCTGGATTGTTAAATAAATGCTCACGATGACCAAACTGCAGTACAATTAATTTTATTGTACAACAAACAATTTACAGTACTCGCTAATACAGTAAAAACACTTTACAATACTCGTTACAACGCTTTACAAAACTTGTTAACACAATTACTTATAGCTTGCTTATTCGCAACTCACTTTACTTGTCGCTTGCTTGTTATAAGTCAACTAACTCACTTCGGTGTCTGCTGGCGTCCTTATATACCTGCGCTCGCACTCATGGCAACTCTAGAATGTTCTGAATTTCACCGCTCATTCTCTTTCTCTCGCTGTTCGCAGTGTTCATCCAACTTGACGTTTCTCTTTGTGGAACTTTCTACTTCATTCCTCGTACATTCTGCCAGTTTCTCGTTGTTCGCTTCGCATTGCCGCAGTATTCACCACAATATATTTATCCATAGAGTTCTCGGAAACGGTTCTAACGATTTTGATGAAATTTTGTACACAGATATTGTTTTGCATTCTAAGGTTATCTGAATAGGCACTATCTCGGAATATACTTGTATAAGGTTGCCACCTGCTCGAAATTAGCGTGAGCTTTTTATTTTGACCAATATCTTCGTTATTACTTAACTTTTTCAATAGGTGATACACCAAAAGATACAGAATTATAATATTTTTCAGGATTATAGAATAAAAAACTAATTTAAAATGCATAATATGCCATATTTTCGAGCTCACACTCAACTGTGTGCGTACGCAAAGCATTCGCTTGTGAACGACAAGTTTTGACAGATGTGTGTGAGCGTCCATAAGAATACAAATGGAATTCTTTGCCTTTGTAAAAGTTCACGCTCACGCTCACATTGAACTGTATATCAAGCTTTAGGATAATAGTGTAAGGTTACCACTTATTTTCGATTATTATATTTGGCGGCCGCTGTGGTGTAGTGGTAAGCAGTGCGTGCTTCCACTCCGCAGCGCCCGGGTTCAAGCCCTGGTCAAACATAGCAAACATTTAGAAAAAAGGGTTTTCCTTAACAGCGGTCGGCCCTCGGCAGGCAGTGGCAAACCTCCGAGTGTGTTTCTGCCATGAAAAATAGCTTCTCATAAAAACACAAACGCCGTTCGGAGAAGCTCGGCCAAACACTAACATATGTGTAAGCGCCAATGTATATACTAATAATTTGTCTAAAACATCGTAATATGGATATCAAATGAAAGATATTTGGGGTGTTCACAGTTCGTTCCAAATAGTGTCTCAAAATGTAGACGTCTACATTTTAAGCCGTTTTTTAACCGTAAAATCTGTGGTGTTGTTGTTTCCCATACAAAATTGGAAAACGACACCGTCTACATTTTGTCACACTCAAAGGTATGTTTTTTACGCGTCTACATTTTGCAACCTCGCAGCAGGGTTGCATTATGGCAATACTAATCGCATGTTTTTTATTTATTGGACACGTTTTCTGTTTTTGCAATCTTAAAATAATGAAGCAAAAGTGAAATACGCCGAAAGAGTTGATATAAACATTCATATATAAGATTCATTGAAGATTCATGTTGAAGAGTGCCTGCAGTTCATAGAAAATAATAACGGATTGGGTTTCTGGTCCGAGCAAAGTGGATAGTCAGGAGAATTTGGCATTTTTCTAAAAACCACCGTCTTGTGATAAAGAACATCATTGTCTGAAACTTACAATAATTTACTAAATAATTACTTGCTAGATGTTAAAGGAAAAGCCTTTAATGATGGCTAGGCGCTCAAAATGATAATAATAATAATAATAATAATAATAATAATAGTAATAATAATAATAATAATAATAATAATAATAATAATAATAATAATAATAATAATAATGGTAAGGGCTAAGCTCAGGACCTTACCGGGGTCCCACAGGGCGGATCGTGAACGGCCTACTCCGGTAGGTTAGCTGCGAATAACCAATATGCAGTCCCAGACCAAGAGCGGCAGGAGACGAGGGCCTAATTTAAAAGATCAGAAATGCTTGATGAATCTCCTGTGTCCGGACGAACAGAGATGCCGCCTCCCAAAAAGCATCCCAGGAAAAGAATACTGACTATAATAATAATAGTAGTAATAAGATTATTATTAATAATGGTATTAATAATAATGGTAATAAAGATAATAATGCACAGAAAACCGTACCAGATAATCAATGGAAAACGGTGGGAAAAGCAGACAGCCGAAGCCAGGGCCAGCGGCCAGGTGAACCCTTGGTCAATAAGGGCGACCAGCCGCAAAAAAAAAGAAGAGGGTGAGAAAAAAGAAGAGTCTCGCCAAATTAATCATTAAGCCAGCTGAAGGTAAAACCTATGCAGAGGTGCTGGGAACGATACGTGGTAAGCTACAACCCGAGAAGACGGAGACCGTAATTCGATCTGTTCGGAAAACCCGCGAAAGCGGCGTGCTTGTCGAAATGGAGCGCTGTGGCGACCACTCAGCATTTAAGTAAAATGTGTGCATTTGGCCAGCTTGGAGACGCCCGTATTCTCACTAGACGTTTACGTTTAGAAGTTCTGGGCTTGGACTGCCTAACCACGGCCCCAAAAGTGGAGAACGCTTTACGCGGGGAATTAGGAGACAACCAAATTCGCGTCTCTCTCCTCGCTGTAAACTCGCGAGAACAAATAATGGCCGTGGTGAAAATCGACGAACTGCCAGGCCGGATTCTTATTGAAAAGGGGAAGCTGCGAGTAGGCTGGATTATCTGCCGCGTACGGGAGCGCGCGGATGTCCAAAGGTGTTTCCGCCGTCTGGGGTATGGCCACAAAAAGGCGGCATGCAAAGGCCGGGTCGATCCTAGCAGATCCCCAAGATATTTCACCCACAACGGGAAAGATCCACAACAGGGACTCTTGTACTAAGCTGGTCGAAGAAACCATGCGCTGCATTCACCGGGCATACAAAACCTCAATGCCACAGAGGAGAGCATGGTCAGGTAAAAAGCAGGTATACTGGTGGAATGACCGAATTGCAGAGCTGCGAAGGGCCTGCCATAGAATGCGGAGACTCGCAACGCGCGCTCGTGGTAGACCTGAGGCGCTGATCAGAGCAGCAGCCTACAAAAGCGCTAAGAAAGCACTTGGGGCCGAGATACAGAAGAGTAAATGGAACTACTGGAAAGCGCTATGTGAAGAAGTGGATCGCGATCCCTGGGGCCAGGGATACAAAATAGTGTTGAAAAAGTTCCACAAATCATCGCAAGCGATGGAAGAGGCCCGAGTAAAGAATATAGTGGATGCGCTGTTTCCCACACACCCTCTAAGAGCAGATACAGTGTTCGTGGAGGAGCAAGTCGAGGCACCACTGTTTTCGACAGACGAGCTGAAGCTAGCCCTGCGAAGCATGAAAGCCGGCAAGGCTCCAGGCCCAGATGGCATACCAGCGGAGGCAATCAGCAGCGAAAACGAGCCCTGATCTCCTGCTTAACATGTACAACAGCTGCCTTAGGGCCCGGGTCTTCCCAAGTCAATGGAAGGAGGCGAGACTGGTGCTTATACCCAAGGGCAAAGGGGACCCAAACTCTCCTTTATCCTTCCGGCCACTCTGCATGCTAG